GCCGAGGCTAAACCTTTGTTTTTTGAAATTTGCTTTCTATCAATTGAATTAAATTTTTACTGTTGTGCATATAAAAATGTGATCACCATGTTTCATAGGACCTAGAAAAGTATTTTTGATTTGCTGATCGTTTTTACAAATACCCTACTGTACTTTCATTTTTACAAAATGTTATGTCACCTAGTCTGTGACAGGCCGGCTCATGATGACCCTATACTTCAACCTAACCCTCCCTGTAACCCTAACCTTAAAGCCAACCCTCCCTGTAACCCTAACCCTGTAACCCTAACCCTCAACCTAACCATCCCTGTAACCGTAACTAGACATGTGCAGCGGCTAAAAATTAGTTCGTTTTTTTCGTTCGTTTTTGGATTTCGTTCATTTCGTTTTTGGAATTCGGATCCTATATGTGTTTCGTTTCGGAAATTCGGATTCGATTCCGGAATTCAGATTCGGAATTCGGACGAATTCCCGAAAATTCATCTTGAGGTGGGGTAGCAGAATTGGCACATTTGTCATTTCTGGTTGCTGTGCTCTAGTCTTTACTATTAAAGGGACATTAAAATCCTTCTCTTAATTTGTTTTTATCCGTTTAAATGTTAACAGTGCCCGTACAGGATTTGGACGAAATTCGTTCCAAATTCGAAGTTTCGGATTCAAGATTTCGGATTTGGATGCTTTCGGATGATTTTGGATATGTTATATTTCGGAAATTCGGATGCTCCGGATCTACGAATTTCCGAAATTTCGTCCGAATTTCGATTCGGAATGAAACGAATCGCATATGTCTTCAATCCAACCTTCAATCCAACCCTCCCTGTAACCCTAACCTTGAACCTTACCCTCCCTGTAACCCTAACCTTCAACCTTACCCTCCCTGTAACCCTAACCTTCAACTTTACCCTCCCTGTAACCCTAACCTTCAACCTTACCCTCCCTGTAACCCTAACCTTCAACCTTACCCTCCCTGTAACCCTAACCTTCAACCTTACCCTCCCTGTAAGCCTAACCTGCAACCTAACCCTCCCTGTAACCCTAACCTTCAACCTAACCCTCCCTGTAACCCTAACCTTCAACCCAACTCTCCCTATAACCCTAACCTTCAACCCAACCCTACCTGTAACCCTAACCTTCAACCTAACCCTCCCTGTAAACCTAACCTTCAATCTTACCCTCCCTGTAAGCCTAATCTGCAACCTACCCTCCCTGTAACTCTAACTTTTGACTTAACCCTCCCTATAAGCCTAACCTGCAACCTAACCCTCCCTGTAACCCGAACCTTCAATCCAACCCTCCCTGTAACCCTAACCTGCAACCTAACCCTACCTGTAACCCTAACCTTCAATCCAACCATCCCTATAACCATAACCTTCAAATTAAACTCTTCCCCAACCTTCACACTATCCCTCCCTGTACCCATAATCTCCAAAGTTAGGGATAATGGGAGGGTTAGTGTGGGGATTATGGTTACCCACATCCCTAACCTTCAAATCAACCCTCCCTGTAGCCTCAATGTTCAACCTAACCCTCCCTGTAACCTAAACCTTCAACCTAACACTCCCTTTAACTCCAGCCTTCAAGCTTTCAAATTTAGCTTCCCTGTAACCCCAACTTTCAACCGACCCCGCCCATAACCCTAACCATCAAAGTTACCTTCCCTGCAACCCCAACCTTCAACCCAACCTCCCTGTAACCTTTTCCTTCAAACTAACCCTAACCTTCAATCCAACCCTCCCTATAATCCTAACCTTCAAATTAAACTCTCCCCCAACCTTCACACTGTCACTCCCTGTAACCATAATCCCCAAAGTTAGGGATAATGGGAGGGTTAGTGTGGGGATTATGGTTACCCACATCCCTAACTTTCAAATCAACCCTCCCTGTAACCTCAACCTTCAACCTAACCCCACCCTGTAACCTCAGCCTTCAACCTAACCCTCCCTGTAACTTCAACCTTCAACCTAACCCTCCCTGTAACTTCAACCTTCCACCTAAACCTCCCTGTAACCCCAGCCTTCAAACTTTCAAATTTAGCTTCCCTGTAACCCCAACTTTCAACCGACCCCCTCCCCCACCCCCATAACCTTAACCTTCAAAGTTCCCTGTAACCCCAACCTTCAACCCAACCCTCCCTGTAACCTTATCCTTCAAACTAACCCTCCTTCTATCCCTAACCTTCAATCTAACCCTCCTTGTATCCTTAACCTTCAAACTAACCCTCCTTGTATCCTTAACCTTCAAACTAACCCTCCTTGTATCCTTAAACTTCAAACTAACCCTCCTTGTAACCATAACTTTCAAACTAACCCTCCCTGTGACCTTCACACCATCCCTCCCTGTAACCATAATCCTCAAGGTTAGGGATACAGGGAGGGTTAGTGTAGGAATTATAGTTACCTGCATCTATAACCTTCAGATCAACCCTCAATGTAACCTCAACCTTGAACCTACCCTCCCTGTAACCCCAACCTTCAACCAACCCCCTCTCCGTAACTGCAGTTCTTCAGTGTCTTCAGTTATACTATAATCCTCACATTAATCTTCCCTGTAACCCAAACCTTCAAGCTAACCCTCCCTGTTACCATAATCCCCACACTGCCCCCTACTTTAATCCTAAATGTAATATTCACATTAACCCTCCCTGTAACCCTCCAACTAACCCTCCCAATAGCCCTAACAATAACCCTCCCAATACCGTGTTTCCCCGAAAATAAGACACTGTCTAATATTTTTTTTGGCTCAAAAAAACACACTAGGTCTTATTTTCGGGGTAGGTCTTATTTTTTTTTTTTATGTACAACGCTCCGCACTTATTCATGTACACAAATATGGTGATCAGGGCAATCAGGGGTGCCGTACCTTTCCAAGAGCAATTTGCTAACCAATTGCTGGCCAGAATGGGCGAAGCGCACTTTCACCATTGATTCCTTTTCGGGGTAGGTCTTATTTTCGGGGAAACAGGGTAACCTTACAACTAAAAGTCCCTATAACCCTAACCATAACCCTCCCTATAACCTTACAACTAAAACTCCCTATAACCCTACCACAAACATTCCTGTAACCTTCCAACTTCCCTGCCTATAACCCTAACTCTTTCTGTAACCCTAACACTAACCCTCTGGATGGAATGTCTATATTGCAGCAAAGGAGGGAAGGAGAGAGAGATATTGAGAGACAACATATGAACAGTCACAATCACAGGTTACTCATCCACATGGTGGCAATACTGCAGGGATATCACACTACTGACACAGGTGGACAATAGGTAATATTTAGCAAAATTTAACCTGGTGCCACCAATGCCTTAAGTTGTTCTTGATTATTTTTAGCCTGGACTTATGGGTCACAGGACAGCTGAAGGGTGACAGCCATCAGCTGTGCAAACATTAAGAAGCCAGAGATTTTTTCACTTCTAATTGTACTGTACGGATAAAACATTCTCATTGTTGGTATTATAGACACCAGGACTATTACTTTCTATGACACCCCACTTCAATAAAAGTGTGAGCTGCACTGATAGGCATGTGTATACCATATAATCAACCTGAGACATTGGATCAAACCCAATTTTCCTTGTGGCTCAGACAGGGGAATACTTTAAATATTTTAGACAGGCAGTTTTTTTTTCTATAGTAACTCATGTATGGGAATTGTGTCAAGATGCCCGATGATCCTCTGCCATAGCCCCATTGATTGCTATGAGTGAGCCATACTCCTCTGTATGGATGGAGGCCACCATGACTATGGCATAGTCATAGGAATGAATGGGGCCATGTTACAGGCCCAGGAGGAAAAGGACTGGGTTGGGACATTTTCTTTACCAATGCTGTACACGGCTGAGCAGGGCCACACAGCAAAGATCACTGTAATGGGGTGGAAGGCACTTTTTTTTGTCAGGTGGTTGTGTGTGTGTGCCTGTGTGTGTTTGTGTGTGTGTGGGGTGCTCAAATAATGGCCATGTCCTTAGTCTACAAGGGCTCCCTGCACAGCCATTGGTGAAGAGGATATAAACCATTAAGCAGAGGGTGAGTTTGCCATTTTTAACACTCCACAGGTACACTTTAAATCTACTCTTTTGCCAAAATAACATTTTGCAATAAAGTGAATAAAGTGTCCGTTACAAAGAAGACATTCAATTCCTATCTGCTACCCATGCTGCTAATTGCTGCCATAATGAACATAAATCACGGGCAGAAAATTCTCCAGAACCTGACACTTTTGGGAGTGTTGGATTCCTGCTCCCTTCTGCACTCAGTGGTTCAGTCCATGGCCCCTATGTCTCTATTGTGTCCTGTGGCGATGTAGTTGCTGGCGGGAGAAATCACAGCATGCAGCAGGGGGAACCAAGAAATTGACACTTCCAGGTTTGTCCTGTAATGACATGGGGTGCCAGTGTATTGTCAGTACAACACACATTAATGTGCTGCGCTGTTCTGTTATGCACGGGGCTCCTAAGGTGCATTGGGGTGCCATGCGTGTTACTGCTGAGAGGTGGTGTAAACAGGCCCTTGCAGTCCATAGTCACAGACCTCTCTACCCTCCCTGTGACCGCCATGAGTTACCACTCTCTGAATACATCTTCGGATGGAAAGGAGGGGGGATGGAAAGGGGGAGGGACTTAGCTGTTGACTTCTGACAAAAAGTCAAAATTTACAAATCGATAATAGCATAGTTTAGGAACAGGAGCTGGTGGATTATGAATGTGTTTACATGCTTAGGTAATTGAAAGGCTTTTTTTAAATAATCAAATAAAATACCATTTATGCAATGTGCTTTTTGTGATAGTAACTGTCTAGAACCAGTTAATTTCCAAATCTGGGACAGTCCCTTGAAATCAGGGAAAGGTGACCACACCAGAATGTTTAGTATTATTATAACAGATACATAGTTAAATGTTTATTTACATACATTTGCCAGTTCTCAATAAAGTTTTGTGAAGCAGCCCGCTGCGCGTCCGCTCTTCGTTGCCATGGTGCTGGAACGTAGCGTCACTTCCGCCTGTCACTGGGAAGATGGCAGCTCCCAGAGGACACGCGTTAGTGCACCGGGTCCTGGCGGAATGTCCGATCACCAAAGCCCGGGCCTGCGAGCTGACTTTACCGCACGGGCCGGTGAAGACCCCGGTGTTTATGCCTGTGGGGACTCAGGGGACGATGAAGGGGATCACGGCCGATCAGCTGAGGGATCTGGGCTGCCAGATCTGCCTGGGAAACACCTATCACCTGGGCATGAGGCCGGTGAGAATGAGCCATGGGAAAGCCCTTCTTTTGTAGTACTACAAGTCCCAGCTAGTATCACCTGAAAAAGCCAGCTACTCCCATAGTGGACGTCGTTCTAAAGAGCGGTTTCAATTCTTTTGAGCAGCCTGTGGGTGTAGATTTAAAGGCAGTTGGGTTAAGGTCTCTGTGCTACCTGTGTGGATATAAATGTTGGGTATTTTACTGACGCTTATCAGAACTGAAGACGTAGCTTGCATAAGCTGCAAAACCTCTTCAAAGTTACAGAAAAATTGAATGTGACTGACTACTACTAGCTATACCATGACGTGGAAAAATAAGAACCTTCATAGACGCAGCGGGATTCTGTTTCCGCTTTAAAGTTAACTCAATGGTTGTGACTGTGTTCATTCATGTTTATAATTCTTTATAGGGTCCTGAAGTGATGAAGAAAGTGAATGGCCTGCATGGTTTTATGAATTGGGACCGGAATCTTCTCACAGTAAGTTGGGCGTTCTCTGCACCGCAAATGGCCTGACCCTAAATGTTTAAGGTAGTGTAACCTATAGCACCAATGAGAAATATACCTTCATTAGACTGAATTAATTTGTGGGAATCTTATTGGATACGATCAGGGGCGTATCTGCCGCGAGGCAAACAAGGCGTCTACCTGGAGCGGCAGATTCCCTGAGAGCGGCACTTGCTGTGGTTCTCTTCCCTTGATAAATGTTATTTATCAAGGGAAGAGAACCAGAGGCTATCGTAGTGGCATTGTAAATACACCGCTGGATACGATACATTTCAGTATAGAATCTCTCCAAGAAGTCAGATCCAGCAGAATCGATTCCCTCAACCAATGCTGTAGTGAAATGAGGCTTCTACCTCCATTCCTGGCAAAGGCCAAGCCTCTAAAATAAAGCCCAGACTATAGTCTGCCATACAGTGTTAGAGCACTGATGTGTGCTTGTGAATTGTGAGAATAAATGATATTCACATGTGTAAACTAGGGATGTCCATGTTCTAGTTCAGATACCAGTGACGATACTTGGCATTTTCACGAGAACTACCAGGGTTGCACCTGGGACCTGGCTCTGGCACTCCACCACTGTCCTGATATCATTCGTTTCTATTGTTTTAGAAAAACTGTCACATAGCACTAAACAAAAATGTGTGAGGACTTGGACAAGTATCAGGTAGGGATGGACCGATATATCGGCCGCCGAAACATTTCGGCCAAAAATGGCACTATTGGCAAAATTCTATTTTTTTTGCCCATATAGCGGCGCATCCGTGAATTCTCTCCTCCCCCCTGGGCGCTGCTCTGTGTCCCAGCGGGGAGGAGAGAAACTGTCACAGGAGACTGAGCACTGCAGGAGGAGAGCGCTGTGAATGGCCGGCGTCTTTCCTCCCCGAACCGCTCAGCCTCCTGTCGCAGATCAGGAAAACGTCGGTGTGGGCCGAGACAGCCATTAATGTGACAGGAGGCTGAGCGCTCCTCCCGCACCACCCAGCCTCCTGTGACAGCCAATCCAGGATGGAGAGCGGTGGTGTGGGAGAAGATGGCTGTCATTGCTGTCACAGGAGGCTGAGCTCTCCTCCCACTTTGCCCCCCCCCCAGCCTCCTGTGACAGCCTGTCAGGATGGATAGCGGGTACAAGCAGTCAGTGATCACTGAGTGTTTGTAAATAATTGAGGACATGGTATGTTTACTATATCCTCAATTATGAATGAATGGGAAGTGATCTACATCACCTCCTGTCCATTCATGATTGTAGATATAGTAATCATACTCTGTCCTCATGTTATAAATGAGCAGGAACACTCAGTATAGAGGAATCCTGGTCATGTATAACAGGGGCTGCAGAAAAAGAGATTGAGGACTCTGGGTCCTCAATCTCTTTTTCTATTTTAAAAGGGAAATATCAGGGGTCTAAGCTTTAGACCCCTAATATGTCCCCAAAGCCCCTAAAAATAAAGTAAAAAATAATTTTTTTTAAATAAAAATGAATACATAAAATATATAATTTTGTTTTTCAAGTTTCTAAAAAAAATAGTTAAAAATAAAATATTTTTTTTTTTTTTGAAAAAGTTAGAATAAAAAACATTTTCAGTTCCGGCCTGACATATTTTTTTCATTTCAGTTTCATTTCAGTTTCGTTTCAGTTTTGAAATTTTCATTTCGGTGCACCTCTAGTATCAGTACTTGAAAATATGGTATCGGTGCATCTCTAATATATATATATTTATATAAAACAAATCATACATTAAAACAGAGATGTACAAATCCCAGGAGCCCCATAGTCAATGCTCCTTAAAAATGCCAGCTGCCTCCTAACTTTTTTTAATTTTTCTCTAGTCTAGTCTTGGAGCTGGAAAAGTATCTGTACTTGTACGGAGTACGGTACTTGGTATCTGAACATTCCTAGTGTAAACCCTCTGCTTATGCTGTTCACATAGCACCCTGCCACCAGATGGTACAGAAGAGCATAGGAATTTTTTGTGCGGCTTAACACCCTTTATTGGTGGCACTGTTGTAGTAAATGGCATTCGCCCAACTTTACGCTAGTAGAAGGTTTGTACATGAGCCCCTTAGTGTCCCGGTAATGAAACTGGTTAAAACAGAAGAGGCGCCACCAGCATCAATTCAACCCAGTCATGGAGTGCCATCTTCTTGCAGTTCCCAAATTGATGGTCCAATAACCTTATTTTATGAGTCAATTGTCATGGCTCCTTTTTGAGCTTCATTAAAGAATGTAAATCTTATAACGATGGGCAAATATTATTGGTTATCAGAATATCAATTCTCAACCGTGAGTTAATATTCAATGAGAAATACTCCAAAGACCTATCTAGGACCTCTTCCTAAAGCTAGGAGGACTCTGACTCTTGTATATGGACATGCTCAAGGCATCTGGGGTTTACAGTTTCTAATTGGTGATTTTAGGACAGTGGCGGTTTCCAGATGGTGTCATTGGTGGAACTCTCCAAGGTGACAGAAGAGGGCGTGCATTTCACATCTCCCTATGATAACAGAGAGATCCTACTCACTCCAGAGAAGTCTATTGAGATCCAGAATGCTCTTGGTAAGCTTTACAAACAATTCTAAACTATAGTCCCAGAGACCAGTTATATCTATTAAATGTATTGTAGCATGCATATAAATAACTTTCCAAGGGACACAGTACATGGATTGTTTCAAATCAAATGTCCCTCAGAGCTGAGATGTGTTTAAGAATAGAACACTTATAAAAATCACTTTATAAAGCCTTGGTTTACACAAATTTGGACCTTAGCTATTCGTTGTTACCATAAATAATGAACGAGTCATTCATTTGTAGCATTGTGCTGTTGTACTCGGTGCATACACATGCAAGGTCAGGACCTTCCACATGGCTATATTGTATATCAGCAATGTGGTACTCCTATGGGATAGAGAAGAAACCACACTGTATGGAGATTCTTTGATGATGGTGTGCAGCTTTCCATATATAGGGCTTATGCACACAAACCTATTGCAGAGCAAACACTTAGTTTATGCCATATGGAAACATGCCTGTGTTTGCTCTGCAATACGCACGTGTGCATGAGTCCTTATATGCAACTAGATAAGAACCTCAGTACTGAACCAAAAGAAGGTTCAGACCACAGTGGTTATAAAGGATCGGAGTAGCCAAAAATTCAAATTGAAACACTTTATTGGTCAAAGTTATTGCACATGAATGAAACAAAATTGCACTTTACCCCCACTCTTACACCAAGTTAAAAAATGATACAAACAACGTTGTCTGACTCGCATACGCCACTCACTCATTTGGACAGGCTGATCGTAATAATAGTGATGAATTGCTGGTGGAGCTCAGAGAAAAACAAATGAATCCAGTTGAATATTGGCTAAAGTGCTTGGCAAGGTATCGTTCAATGTAGACCGGACTGTTCATTAACGGATGTAGTGTCCACTGATCCCGCATCTTAATTTGTTACATGTAGAGCGCAGTCTACTCAAGTGTGCAATGTGGAAACTAAGTGGCATACATGATTGGGAGGCTGAGCGATATGTGAGATAATCCGGAGCTGTAGAGATGGATATTCACTAGCGTGATTCTCAAAAGTTTATAATCAGATCCCCAGGTCTACTTAGACCGATGGTATATGTATGAATAGATCCAGTAAATCACTCATTGAAATGTACCATTAAAGTATGGTTATAAAGTAACCAAAGGTATATAAAGTAGGGCTGTTACTGATTTAAAATTTTCGTGTTCGGTTAGTCGAAATGTTTTTTAATCTATTAATTTCGATTAATTATAACGCACATACAGATCCAACTACATTGGCCTATACACATACAGCACAGCAATGAAGTAATAAAATGAACTAGGATCACACTAATCCAGCACGTTATTAATCTCATGTGCCCCACTCAATATGGCCGCCGCTTGAGTGGGGCAACTCAGAATAATAACGTGCTGGATTAGTGTGATCCTAGTTCATTTTATTACTTCATTGCTGTGCTGTATGTGTGTAGGCCAATGCCTTGGCTGGCGCTCGTGCAGAACATGTTTCTTGGGCAAACCTCTTAGTTGTAACGAAACCAGAAGTCAGGCGGTCGCAGAACTCGATAAGTGTCAACAGATCACCGGTGATCGATCGATCGAAAGTTCGAACTTATCGAGTTCTGGGATTGCCGGACTTCCGCTTTCGTTACAACTAAGAGGTTTAAACAAAAAAGTTATTCTGCACGGGCGCCATCCGCGGCATTGCTCTATACACATACACCACAGCAATGAATGAGTTTAGTTAGTGGCTTGGATAAGCAGATGTTTTGTGTTATGCTCTCAGCTTGCTATATTAAGCTCTCCTGCATGGAAAGTGTTTGCTATTTTGCTGAATAAAAGTGCAGGATGAACCAGCTGGCACTGAATTGGAAGTCCCTGTCTTACCAGCCGATCCTTTCCACCCTGATACAGTGAGTATTTTCCCCTTATACAGCAGCTTTGTGTCTTCTCACTCAGGCTCCGACATCATGATGCAGCTTGATGACGTGGTGAGCAGTACAATCTCTGGACCCCGCGTGGAGGAGGCTATGTACAGGTTAGCAGAAGACTATGCCAGTCATTAATTTCTTAAAACCATGCCTCTGCGTTATCACATGATCCTTCTGTTTATTAATTTCTTATCACCTTCTGCCCACCAGCATTAGGTTTAGACTAGGATGATGAAGAGTGATTGAGCTGACTGCAGAACTGTCAGAGTGACGCAGTATGAGTTCTACAACCCTTTTTGCATTCTCTCATATGTACTGCTGTGACTTTATATTTAATGCAGATGCGTTTGGTTGTTTAAAGCACTCGGTCACAAGTCTACCGAATAAAATAAAGCTTCTCCCTTTAAAATAATACAAAACAATCTGGAATTGTTGAGCATGAATTGTTCCCCCGAAGTCTGCTGGGAAATCAATACCTTCGTCCCCTGCAACTCTTAATTCCTTCTGCCGACCTCCATCTTCGTACAGGACATAGTACAGGATGCTGTAGTGACATAGAGGTCAACAGGAAGAACCAGTTAGCTGGCTGCACATAATCGGACAGAAGTTTATATTGTCGCTGCTTTAAAATAGTTTTATTTTTGACCAGAGTTTCTTTCTTCTGTCAGATCCATCCGCTGGCTAGATCGCTGCCTTGCTGCCAATAAACAACCAGAGAAGCAGAACCTGTTTGCCATTATCCAGGGAGGACTTGATGCTGAGCTCCGCAAGAAATGTTTAGAGGGTACGTACAGTATGTTTGGTCATATCAGAGCCCGATACTACCGAGTATAACAAGTTAAAGTGGACTTTTTATTAACTTTAAAAAAAAAAATTATATTTATTTTTATTTCATTTTTTATTAAATATCTTTATTTTACTTTTAGGGGCTTCAGGGAAATATTAGGAGTTTAAACAGACCCCTGATATTTCCCTTTTTAAAATAGAAAAGAGATTGAGAACACAGTCCTCCTTCTCTTTTTATGTATCCCCTGTGATGAATGAACAGGAATCCCCAGAGTGTTCCTGTTCATAACATGAGGACAGAGTATGATTACTATAACCACAATTATGAATGAACAGGAAGTGATGTAGATCACTTCCCATTCATTCAAAATTGAAGATATAGTTAACATACCATGTCCTCAATTATTTAAAAACAGTCGGTGATCGCTGAGTGTTTGCTCTCCTCTCTGAAACACTGTCACAGGAGGCTGAGCGAGCGGAGCAGGGAGGAGAGCCCAGCCTCCTGTGACACCGTGGGCTGTCTCCGCCCCCACACCTCTCTGCCGGACTGTGATAGCTCACAGCGCTCGGCCGGCTGTCACTTTCTCGCCTCCCCGCTGGGACACAGAGCAGCGCCCAGCGGGGAGGAAAGAAATCAGGGATGCGCCGATTTATCGGCAGGAAAATGCCACTTTTGGCATTTAGCCAAAAGTGCCATTTTTGGCCGATATGTTTCAGCGGCCGATATATCGGTGCATCACTACCAGCAACGCCATGCTATCTACGTCCTGTGATAGCAAAACTTGACTGGAAACTGTTTGAATGTGCCTCCTCTGTGCCATAATGCTGTGAAAGGTGTAGATGGCGTGGGTGGGGGCTGAGCGACCCCCATACATTGCATTGTGTTGCATCTATCTGTTACCCACATATAAAGCCATTTTAGCATCTCTACCTTTGGCTATTTGACAAGATTCGCGCCTTCAGTCGAGGGACTCAAACAATAAACATCCATTCCGGACTCCATGGCACCATTGCAATTGGATTATGTGATTGGAACAGAAAGGATTCATGGACCTTAACACCTCTAATCATGTTCTGGACAATCAATATCTGGCTTCACACATTGCATGACAACATGGTAATTGGAATCTTCCCATCTGCAATCTGTAATTTAGCGTTCCCCTGCACAATGCTTTGTGGCAAGGATAGGTGAATCTGCGTCCTTCCTTTGATATCTACCAGCCGACACTTTGCACAACTGCTAATTGCCACAGATGACTGTGACTGACAGCTCCATTCCCCGCTAACAGTGGTTGTGTCACCTCTGATATAGTGGTCACATGCAAGCTAAATGCTTCATTTGCTAAATAATTGCTGTAGGTCGCAGAGGCCACTGCAGCCTCTAGATGGCAGTGTGCCTCTGTTCAATACTGTAATTGTCTGATACAATTATACTAATAACTTAAAGTGACATTAAACCCTCAGATTTTTTAACATAAAACAATACTGTAATGTGTGCCTTACTGTAATCCATGGTTGTTTCCCTTCTCTTTGCTACTCTTCCTTTTAAATCTCTTCTCATGCTGGGCAGAACTTCTGTTTTGCAGCAGACTGCCTTGTCTCTGAAAGGGATACATGGTGTCTGTGTGTTGGTTTGCAACCTGAGCCAGCACTACAGGAAGAGGCAGTCAGCTGCAAAGGGAAGTTCTCCCCAAGCATGATAATTTAAAAGGAAGAGCAGCAAAGAGAAGGGAAACTACCATGGATTACAGTAAGGCACACATTACAGTATTGGTTTATGTTAAAAAATCTGAGGGTTTAATGTCACTTTAATATACAAACTGCTAAATCTGGTCTGGGCATTTAGGCTCTAGAGACCTATGAGTTACCTGTGTGGATGTTAATATTTCTGTATGTTCCTGAGCTGAGGAAGCTACTTTGTTGTTTTAGAGATGACCAAACGAAATGTCCCTGGCTTCGCTATTGGTGGCCTCAGTGGAGGGGAAGAGAAAGATCACTTCTGGAAGATGGTGACCCTCAGCACGGACCACTTACCCAAAGAAAAGCCTCGCTACCTCATGGGGGTTGGGTAAGCTTTCTTAGTTACCATCTATTCTTAGGTATGATCTATATATGACCAGAAAGCTTTAAGGACAATTCACACTATTGCAGTGCGTTAACACACATCCATTTGCCCTGCCTAACTGTATGTATGTTTGCCCTGTGCGGATGTTGGCAGTATATATAAATTTGCTTTCCATGTTAAATGTAATATCAGGAAAATGCCACATTATGGCCACTAGATGGAGCGGAGGAATAACGGCCACTAGATGGAGCCGAGGAGCATAGGACAGAAGTATTCATTTCCTATGTTCCGCATCTCCATCTAGGGGCCATAATGCTGTATTTTCCTGATATTACATCGAACTTGGATAGAAAATATACTGAGACTGTTGTTTTTTGCCTCCATTTGCACAGAACAAACATACATGCAGATTCGCAGTATGAATGGGTCTGCTTTTATCTTTTTTTAGAAATACATTCCATCGCATTGCATCCATTGCATAAAAAAATGTGTTCAGTGTCTTACAGTTTTTTTTGCTAAAGCAGCCATAGCTTGAGTAAAAGGCCTGTCCCCTGCCAGCCTGCTGCAGAGAAGGATCCTTCCTCCCTGACTGGAAGCGTTGGTCTCACTGCAGAGGTCTAACTATGCCTCTTTCTGAGTCTGACTTTAGCTCCTGCTGGATGGACATCTCCAGCTCTCCTTCTTTAGACCAGGTAGCTCCTGCTTTTGATAGATCTTCTCGTGTATATCAATCTCACCAGCTTCTGTTTCCTCTCCGCAGATATGCCACTGATCTCGTGGTGTGTGTGGCCCTCGGTTGTGATATGTTTGACTGTGTTTTTCCTACAAGGACAGCTGTAAGTGAAAGGGTTAATACTTGTTACAGGGTACAGGAAGTCTGTACCCTATAACATATCATATCAGTCATACATGTTCCTCAGCCTTGCAGACATGTATAGAAAGGTTTCAGGTTTCTCAATACCCACTGCAGACATAGCCAAGCCATACAGTATTCTACACCCAGAATATTATTATTATTATACATGATTTATATAGCGGCAACGGTTTGTGCAGCGCTTTATATTCCAAACACATGGATGCTTGTGGATCTTTGACAAAACTTGAGAAAACTTTGGGCAGCTTCCCACTTTGAATTTTTAAATGCTGGCAGTGTCACTATTGTAGAGATTTTCCATTACTTCCTGCCAGGGCAGGAAGTGAGGGGAAATCTACCAAATGGAAAAACAGACAAAAACTATTTTTTTTTTGTAAAGTGAGGGCCGGTCAGAACTACTGATTGTGTTTTTATTGCTGTGTTTGCCTTCCTGTTGCAGAGATAACCAACCCCCTTCCCGAATTTCTTGACATTCCAGGGACAGGAAGTGAGGGAATCTCTACCCTACAGGGTCGCAGAAATAAAAACATGATACACAATATACAAAGCAGAAAAATAATAAATATATATATATATCTATATATATATATATATAGAGATATATTGGGCAGTAAGTGAACATATTGTCCTTGAAGATGTGTTGGAAGCAGAAAAAATGTACAAGTGTAAGGATTTGAGCGACTTTGGCAAGGACCAGATTGGGTCAGAGCAATTACAAAACTGCAGTTCTTGTGGGATGTTCCAGGTTAGCAGTGGTCAGGAGCGACCAAAAGTGTTCTAAAGTAGGGTATACACAGATAGAATTTTGAATGAATTAAATTGAATTAGCAACATTTGTTTGACTTTCTAATCGTTGATGGGGTCAAATCAAATATTGCAGTAATGAAAAAATTCAAAGGAGCATGTTGGAAAATATTTCTTGCGCGAACAAATTTCTAACAGTGAATGTGGTTACTCGTTTGGAAACTCCAATTATTCCAAAATCAGATGTTAAGTAAAAACGAAAATTAAACGAAATTTCAAACGACAATCCGCAAATGCAAAAATCTAACCATGTATACCCAACTTAAGGAAGGAAAACCGGTGACCGGGTCAGCATGGACGGCCAATGCTCATTGCTGTACATGGGGAGCGAAGACTGGTCGCTGCAGTCTGATCCAATAGAACAGCTAGTTTAGCCCAAATTGCTTGGTGCCAGATACCACAGCGTACCTTCAGAGGTCTAGTGGAGTCCATGTCTTGATGGGTCAGTAAAAGGGGGAGCATGTGCTCAGTGCCAACAATCGGGGATCTGTATACACGACTGGCCTTGACTTTGTGTGCCCTGTTCTGAATAGTAGGTTGCTGTGAGAATAAAACAATACACTTTCTATATGTGGATGACCATTCATGTCTCCTGTGTTGTCAGTTAGATTAATACGCCGCTAATCATTTTTTTTTTTTTTGCAGAGATTTGGCTCGGCTTTGGTTCCGTGGGGTTCTTTGCAGATAAAAAGCAAACAATATGCAAAAGATTTCCAACCTATAAACAAAGACTGTAAATGCCCCACCTGCCTGAGGTAAAAAAATCTAAAATATTCTGACTATACTTTTGACTCTCAATTCTCTGTTCCATGCTAAACAGCATGGATGTGACCGCGGCGGGTGTGCAACTGTCAACCATCCCAATAAGAGATACATTGACTAAATAAATCACACATATTTTTCATTCGATTCATAAATGTATCTCTTATTGTGACCATTTGGCGTCTAAATCAATATTTTGAAGCTCCTAGTATGCTACAGGTCCTCTTCTTCTTTTTTTCCATCCCTAGGGCTCTTTCACACGTGCGTCAAAACCTTGCGTTCTCTGCCGCACTTTTAACGCCCATGTGTGATTAAAACAATAGCAACTGCCCTGTACAGTTCACACATAGGCGTCAGTGTTGCATTGCGTCGCGGCAAAAAATAGATTGCATGTCTCGTTCTGGAGGCATTGCCTCTGGAATAATGCCTCCATAGAAGTCTATTAAATGAACTTTGAAACGCTCGTTCAATGTGATTTTGATTTGGGCGTGACCTGAGAAGACCCATGGCCGAGTCGAAACAAATGGGCTGAGTCGGCCGTGACGTCAACCCCAAGCTCTATCTATATGTTGACATTTGGCTGGCTGCTGTCATTAGACGGCGTGTGTTCATCGGGTCAGCATTGCCCCCTATTAACACTATAGTTCAAACATGGGCGTCAGCGTTGCGGCAAAAAAATAGATTGCATGTCGCGTTCTGGAGGCATTGGTGCTGGAACAATGCCTCCATACAAGTCTATTAAACCACCTTTTGAAATGCTCGTTCAACGCTCTCTAGAGAGTTGTGAAGGTATTAAACAAGCGTTTCACAGGCGGTTTTGCAATAGGAGGGACCCCAAGTTAAATAGTTAAAACAAAAATGAATGTGGGGTCCCCTTCCCGATCCAAACCTGACCCTTTAGGTCTGGTCGGAAAGTTAGGAGGGTACCCCCCCCCCCATCCCAAAGAAAAAAAAAGGCCCTTTAGGTCTGGTAGGAATTTTAAGGGGGACCCACACCCCCAAAAAGCGGGAAAAAAGAACGTGGGGTCCCCCCTAAAATTCCTACCAGACCCTTGATCCAAGCACAGGCCTGGCAGGGCAGGAAAGGGGGAAACGAGCGAGTGGGGACAAGAGCCCCTTTCCCACAAACCCTGGGGCATTGGTTGTGGGGGTGCGGGCAGGGGGGCTTATTCACATCAGTGTACCCCTTTAATAAAGGGGCACCAAGATGCGCCCCCCACCCTCATGAATGAGTAAGGGGTACTTGAAGTCACGGCCGGCTCCGCCCTTTTTGTTTTTCGATTTGGCCGTGGGTCTTCTCAGGTCAAGGACAAATCAAAACAAATGGGCGGAGTCGGCCGTGACTTCAACCCCAAGCTTCATCTATATGTTGACATTTGGCCGGCTGTTGACATTTGGCAGTGTGTGTTCGTCGGGTGGGGACGGGTTGGCGGTCGGCGGGCTTTTTTTTTTATTTTGACGGGTCGTCGTCGTGGACAACGCTGGATGTTGTGATTGACCCTGAATTACGTCGGCGGATCCATTTTTTTTTTCTAATAAACTTGTCAAAAATCCTTTGTTGTGTTTTTTTATTTAATTTAAAGGATTTTTGATTTAATGTCTGGCCTCCTTTTTAAAAAATAAAATAAAATCTTTTTTTAACCCTGTAGTGAATGGGTGGGCTGCATCTGGGTGCCTCTTTATTAAAGGGGCACCCTAATGTGAATAAGCCCCCCTGCCCGCACCCCCACAACCAACACCCTAGGGTTTGTGGGGAAGAGGCCCTTGTCCTCATCGGCATGGGGACAAGGTGCTTTTCCAGGGGGGATCCCTCCCTCCCCTCCTCCCTCCCTGCCTGCCTGCCTGCCTGCCTCCCTCCTTTCTGACCAGGCCTAAAGGGTCTGCTATGGATCGGAAGGGGTACCCCACGCTGTTTTTTGTATTTTTTTTGTTGGTTTACATTTTATTTTTTATTTGTAATCCTTATTTTACCAATTTATCATTTTTTTGGGGAATGCATTTTCCTAGCGTTTTGGATGCCTGGCTAATGCCTTGTTAACACTATAGGCGCGTTAATAAGCGTTGATCGTGCGGACAATTCTCAATGCACGTGTGGAAGAGCCCTAAGTATGAATGTATTAGGACCAGTTGCATAGTAAATATTATGTACTAGTATTCTTATTTGTTGTTCCTGTGAGCACATCTTGTAGCTCCTTTTACCATGTTTTAATTGGATTAGAGCTCTTCCAGCGGACAGAACTATATGAACTCAAAATCGTTATTAGTCCAGTTCAGTGGTTAGGAATACTTTCAGCCATGATATTAATGTATTTAATGCCCTTTGTTTTGTCCTTTTTGTGTAGATACACCCGCGCCTACATCCACGCCTTGTTTAAAAGTGACACGGCCGCCATGCATCACATCACAATCCATAACATCGCTTACCAGGTGAGCCAGCCGCCATGACCCAAGGACATGGATTACACCAGACCCATAAAAGTCTGTACCAAAGGACAGCAGTGAAGCTCTAATGGAAATGGGGTGTTGCCTACAGCAACCAATCAGATTTTAGCTGCTATTTCACAATGAAATTCAAATGATATAATGTAAGGGTCATAAAACAGTGGCGGTACCAATAACAACCAGCTATTTGTTTTAAAGGAAGCACACAGTGAGAGATATGGAGGCTCCCATTGCTGGCCTCTTCTGAAATTGCTGGTGTCTGGCTGTCATGCTGATCCTCTGGATTAAGTCCCAGCCAAAGCAGAGGTTTTGGATAGAAGGAGGCAAAGTTCGAAACCTAGGCTTTCACTGCTATATGGGTCTCAGAGAGATTACCCTTCACTTTGTGTCACGTGACAACTATCCCACTATACAGAAGGAGACGGGAAGTGTGGGTAAGTCTTTAGCAGCATTGTAAACCAGAATAAAAATACTTTTATTCAGTAGAGTAGGGAAAGGCCAGAACCTCTGTCAGATTTTTATTTGTGTCTGTGTCCCTGTTGCAGATTCTCTTTCATTTCCTGTCTGGTGAAACAGAAGCAAGTATCTTGTTATGGGTAACACCCCTGTTACTCAAAGTGGTGCTATGTGACATGGAGTCTGTCCCTCCCACCACAGGGTGACACAGACAGGGAGAGCTATGCGACATGGAGTCTGTCCCTCAAACCACAGGGTGATACAGACAGGAGGAGCTATGTGACATGGAGTCTGTCCCTCCCACCACAGGGTGACACAGACAGGGGGAACTATGTGACATGGAGTCTGTCCTTCCACCACAGGGTGACACAGACAGGAGGAGCTATGTGACATGGAGTCTGTCCCTCCCACCACAGGGTGATACAGACAGAGGCAACAATGTGGCATGGAGTCTGTCCCTCCCACCACAGGGTGACACAGGCAGGAGGAGCTATGTGACATGGAGTCTGTCCCTCCCACCACAGGGTGACACAGACAGGGGGAACTATGTGATATGTAGTCTGTCCCTCCCACCACAGGGTGACACGAAGGGAGGAGCCACGTGACATGGAGTCTGTCCCTCCCACCATTGGTTACTCGGAGGGGAGGGGGTAGGAGATTTGGATCTTGGTCTCCCTATGTAATAAATGTTTATTTTGTTCCTCCAGTTGAATCTGTTGCATTCGGTGAGGGAGAGCATTCTACAGGGACGCTTCCCCCAGTTCATTCAGGATTTCATGAAGACCATGTACAGCACAAAGGACAAATACCCACATTGGGCTGTTGATGCTTTAGAGACGGTCAATATCACCCTACAATAACTCCATCATTGATTCAACATTCCCTCCACTTCTGGGCTCCCATCATCACTGACACACAAGTTACTGTATTGGATCCATTCCTGTGCTGCCATCATGACCGGACGGTTCTAGAAACAGATCTGTGTGTAGGATCTTAAAACCAAACTTATTATGTGTATATATGAACTATGATGTTTTAATGATTTCCTCTACAAATATTTTAGATTTCCTGTTTTTACAATAAAACCCAATCATTTTATGTCATGTCGCTCCACACTTTTTAAAAAATATTGTTTCTACAGACTAACAAAAAAAAGAAATGTATACCCCCC